CAGAAGGGGGAAGGAAGTTATTCGGCTTAAAGGATATGTTACTACTACTACTATTATTATGGTTGTTGTTATTATCATCATTACTACTACTACTATTATTATTACTACTATTACTACTACTACTATTATTATTATTACTACTACTATTATTGGTATTATTATTATCATCATTGTTATTACTACTACTACTATCATTATTATTATTATTATTATCATCATCATAATTACTACTACTACTACTATTATTATTACTACTATTATTTTTATTATTGTTATCATCATCATCATTATTATTACTACTACTACTATTACTACTACTATTAGTATTATCATTATTTTATTATTGTTATTATCATAATTATTATCATAATTATTAGAAGTATTATTATTATTAGTGTTGTTGTTATTATTATTATTTTATTATCATTATTATTAATACAATTTAAAAAAATTGTAATTAAAGCATCAACATCATATTTATAAATCAGTGAATGTGACTTTCACCAAACATTCACTGGTGGTAAATCACTGTCATTCAGTGCACCTGGAAGATTCACCTTCAGACAAACGTTTGGTGAATGTCAGATTCATTGCTTTATGAACATACCCCTCAGTATGCTTTCAGTTGAGAAATGCTGTGTGCATAGTCTGTGGCAATGACGGGGTTAAGGAGTTTCATTATTTTTGGCCTTTCTCTTCCATCTCTTGTCAGTTTCTTCCTTTTTGCATTTTTTAAAAACCTTCTTGTCAGCTGGAAGTCGGACTTTTTTGCATAAACTGTAGACAGGTTTCGCGGTGGCCGCGTCTCTCCGCAGTATGTAAAGCCGGTGAAGCCCCTCGGTTTATATAAGAAAGAAAGAAAGAAAGAAAGAAAGAAAGAAAGAAAGAAAGAAAGAAAGAAAGAAAGAAAGAAAGAAGAAAAGGCAAAAGAAAGGAAGACAGGAAAGGGAAGAAAATGAGAAGGAAGGAAAGAAGGGGAAATAAAGAAGAGGAAAGGAAATGAAAAGGGAAGAAAGTATACAGGATATAAAAAAGGAAAGGAAGACATTTCTGACACATTTTGCCATTTTGGTGAAATGCATATTAGTCAATGGGGAAAGTGACATTTTTTTTGTAGCAGGCTTTACATGGCTCCCGGTGGTTAATAAAACTCCTTTTAACTATGATGGAGCTGTTGGCGTGCCAAAAACGGCCTTTCATCAGTCTGTGTAACCAAGACCAAGAATAAAAAAAGAATTGAAAATTTGGAACAACAGAAAAGGCAAAGAAAACCAAATACATAAAGTATACGAGAAAGAGAGAGAGAGAGAGAGAGAGAGAGAG